TCTTTGTCGCGTCTCACAAAGCACCATTCATAAGCAATTTTCAATTGCTAATGAACTTCTGGGTGTGATGAATTAGTTTTGAGTTTAATCTGTCGGCGGTGTCACATCGCTGTTTATCGCCTTTGACACATATCACACCATTTGGCTCGGCGAGGCTCCGTGAAACATTGTGTCAGGGCTGAGATCTGCAGCCGCGGTGCGATCTTGCACATCAGTTTAAAGACATCCGTCATTTTATCTTTCACGATGAATGCATTTGTTTCCTGCAGGTTTTACATTTTAGGCTTTGAAATCGCAGCTGCTGGAGATTTCTGATACAGCATCTCCACATCTGTGCGTGATCGTGTGCAGTTTTTTGGTCAGATTCAGCCTTTAACACCTTCATTTGTGCCAGGATGCTCTCTGCAGACTGACTGTTGCCCCAGTTGCGATCGAGATTAACGAGGTTGGTCCTGACCCGAAGCCCATTGCTCAAGTTTCCCTCAGCTCTGAAAGATGATGTGACTTTCACATTAACTCGGATGGTAAATTACCTGAGGAAACGTCATGTAGCTACATTCAAGTTTCTCAAGTTCATATTCAGATTGTGTAAATATGTCATGAAAGTTTCTGATCTTCTAATGTTGCAGCTATAAGCTGTCATTTATAGAAACTGTGAAAAAAAAACAACAAGAAACCCCAAAGAACTAAATCTTAAACTGACTAATTTATAGAAACTGTGAAAAAAAAACAAGAAACCCCAAAGAACTCAATCTTAAACTGACTGCAAAGACATAAATGACCCCAGAGATGCAAAACTGCATCAACATGACAACAGGAAACACAACCACAAAGAAACAGATGCAAAATGACCACAGAGGGATGCAAAACAAAAGCAACTGCAAATCAACACACAAAGAATGTGAACGACTACAACGAAGCACAAAATTACTACAAAGAGAAGGAAGTTGGGTGTCTTGCCCTTGTAGTAGGAGGGGTGGTGGGCTTTTTACATGTCTGTACCTAAGGATCCATTGTTTCATCATCCTTTCATGCACACACCATTTAACACAGGAGCACGGTTCACAGAACGTCTGCATGACACTTTATTAACTCCCCTTGTGAATTGCAATCACACAGTCTCTCTGTAAGTAAGAGAGTAATTCATCTCTGGCTGCCAGCTCCTATCACCGATGTGCTCTTTATATGGTATATAGTCTAGTGGAAATCTCTTTAGGATCACACACAAAACCCTTTTCAATTTTTCCATCACCAATCAGCGTTTCATGCTGGCTTGATAAAGGTACTGTAATATTTCAGTTCCTTGTATCAGAGCAGGTAAATCGAGGCCAGTCCTTGAATCAGCATAAATCTTTCTCAGTTTGTCTGTGCTTTCCGCCGTGTGTATTCTCATGGGAGCTGAAACTCATGCATAATTAAAACAGGCTCATCACATGGATCCGCTCTCTCCCTCGCTCTCACAAAACAGCAGTGCAGCACATATGGCCTGTCAGGGGAGGAGACGTGCGGTGGTGGAACGGCAGTGATGGAAAACCCAGAGATACAGTGCATAAAGACGGTTTATCTGCACTGTGTTTCCAGTCATTTCAATTAAGACCCGGTGCTAGAGAGATCATTACAACAGAGGCCAGTCGGTCCCACTGCCTTTCCTGAAACGTCTCTGTGGAAATCTGATTGAGGCTGCCATGTTTTCACCCATCTGGCTTGCCAAAGAGATTCTTGGCATAAACTGCTGTTGGACCTTTTCAGACTGCTGGCACGAATACTTAGCAGTTGGCATGTTGGTGTAGACAGCGAAGGGAACAGAAAACAGTGTTTGACCAGCAGCTCCAAGCCTCACATGAAAGAATGTGTCTAGTAAATGTCCTCAGCTTGTTAGTGCATTTAACTCAGAGTCGATTTTATTTCATTGTTGTACATATGACAGATTATTTATAAATGATCATACAGTTATTTCAAAGTTGCTGTGGGATATAGACGACAGAGTTTTTAGTATAAAGTCGAGCAGTGATAAATCAGCTGAGGCCTCAGAGGATTTGTGTGAAAACGATCCATGCAAAGAGAAGAGGACTGTTTGCTGCTGTTATTGTGTGTCTGCTGTTGTTAACTTTGTCGCCCTGTCGTTTCTAGGGTTCGTTCCTTGGTCGTCTGAGACACTTTGTAGACATCATTGACCCCAGCACCCTGTTTGTGTCCGAGGTAAAGCTTATAGATTCAGACATACTGTAGATACATTAAGTCTTTGGTTACATGTGTTTTTGCTTCTCAGGCTCTGTGCTGTGATGGATGCTACATGAACGTGCCGAGTCTCGCTTTAATTTGAGCAGGTTTACATCGATATAGAGAGAACTGTGTGTGAGATAAAGCACAGGCTACTGGAAACCACCAAGTAACACATGATCAGATATTTTCCTGATTTAAATGATTTTTCCCCATTTATTGAACTTTATTTAGGCAAAACATTACATAGCTGCTCATGTATATTTGTTGATCTGAAATGATTAGTCCATTAGTGAAGAGACAGGAAAACAATCTGGTGAATTGTTTCAGGTAAAAATGACCAGGATTCTGCTGGTTCCAGCCTGTCGTATGTTCCCGTTTCCTGCTTTAGTTTGGCTTCTAGTATGTGAGAGCGAATCAAATGGTTTCTTTAAACAAAACATCTGAGAAGTTGTTTAAATGAAATGATAAATAAAAATATTTGGCACACTGATAAATAATGTAAATCCTAAAAATGTGAGAATTTATCTTCTTTTATTCTGAGAACAATATATCCAGAATATTTTGAAAACTTGAAAATGGTTCAAAATATGCCAAACAGCTACAACAAACTTAGTGTAACTAAACCCAATGTTTCTTTTTTTCTTTGGCTGTAGAAACGGCTGAAAGAATGCATCCAACTCCTTGATGACTACAAGCATGGCTCACTTCCACCTGGAGTGTCCGACCTTCAGGTGAGTCTTTCTTGATGCTGATGTGATGTGCTGGTGTGCAGACAGAAAGCACAGCAGTATGCATTACAGTCTGTGAATGAAAAGAAGTCTTTACTGCCAAATGTTAGAAATGAAAATGTAAAACGAATGATTGATTGCACTGCTTACCTGTGCAGCTGTGGGAAGCCCAGAAGATCAAGCAGGTAAGTGACATCAGTCACAAATCAGCCCAGGTTACCCGCACCATGCATACATTCAAGCCTCGGGGCTGCTGGCATCATGAGGATGACGCCATGCTGTCTGCACGCAGGCTATCATTCATCCTGACACAGGAGAGAAGATCTTCATGCCATTTCGAATGTCAGGTACAAGCTGAGATGAAGATCTTTGCTGAATTTGTTCAAGTCAGTTCATGTAGTCATCGTTTTTACACTGAAAACATGTTTTCACTGTGCAGGTTATGTGCCATTTGGAACGCCGATCGTAAGTCCCATATGAAAATCACACGTTTTAATCATGCATTTCATGAACCTCGACTTGGCTGTGCAGATATCCATTTGCATGGTCATGTTTGGCGACAGATGAAATAAGACTTCAGACTTATTTTGTCCAAAAATAAGCTCTTATTCCCTGGTTTCATCTAGGTCATTGGCCTCCTCCTCCCAAATCAGACTGTGGTGTCTACCATTATATGGCAGGTATTGTAAATAACATACCTAATGTAAAAACCATGACATGCCTTTTTCATTCTGGACATCTGGTAAAGGCACTTTTATTTTGTACAGCAATCCTTTTCCCACCTGTTATATATGGGAATATTGACATTATAAAATAAAGTGCAACCACTCCGTTTGCTTTTTTCCTGTCTGCTGTTTCTGAAAGTAACTGTGAAATCTATCTCTCTATCTATCTAGCCCTTGTTTTTGTCCTTCTTTCCTTTTCCTGCTTCCTTTCATTTGTCTTTCTTCTTCCCTTCTTTCTTTCCTTCGTTCATTCCTTTAACCCTTAAATCGTCTTCTGTTTCAGTGGCTGAACCAGAGTCACAACGCCTGTGTGAACTTCGCCAATCGCAACGCCACAAAGGTAGGAACCACTTTCTGTGTATTGTAGATCTTTAGTGTCTCTCAAACATCCAAAAAGTCATGACATTTATTCATTTTAGTAGCTTTTTTGTTTCATCACCAAAACAGAACACCGTGTCTAATGGTTTCTGACCTACAGTACAGCTGTTTCTTTCCATAAATAATCAGAATCAGACTCTATAAAATGTCACTGTAGGGAATGTTCAGGGTTCTTACAGTAAACTGTGTATAAACCTGTGACAAAACATTTGTTTTGTCCCTCCTCAGCCAACGCCAACCTCCAAGTTCCTTCAGGGCTATGTAGGGGCAGTGACCAGCGCTGTCTCCATAGCAGTGAGTGTGTTTCTAATATCAATATTGTCTCTGAGTATGGAGACGGTTTAATTAAACTTTGTTTATTCTGAACATCACCTGCCAAAGGCAGAGCACTAAATGTAGCCATGCAGTAAGTACAGAAGTAGTAATAATGGATCTTTATTCAGTGGATGGTTCTTTGGGTACATTATGTGTTTTTTTGTACAAATAATTATTCTTATTGTCTCGTTTGATAGTTGGTGATTGAAGTGGGACTGTAAATTAGTCAGTGCTAAGGCAGATAACCAATAAATATGTATTTACTGTAAAAAGTGGCTATCAGACTGTTCAGCTTTTGGAATAGCTGTAGCAGTTCTGTACTTTTGTACTAATGCCAGTTCTTGCTACAGTAAAGTTATGATCATAGTTGGTAGTAAAGCTAATGCTGCACATACAACAAACTGTTTTACTGGACTGTACTGCAGTATTTCATGCATTTCACAGGAGGTTTTCCTAAAATTAAAATGTACTGTGATTGGTTTTAATATTTCCTAAATAAGATTTACAACTGATCTGATGTACTTTGCCTCAATATGTTATATTTTAAAGTGTTTTTGTATACAATAGGTGGGA